GGACCAGAGGATTCTGGTTATTGATTTGGAGAATGAGCAAGTTTTTACTAAATGTACTAATTGGACCAAAGGCTCTCTATCTATTGATAAGAGCTTCTATGTCAGAATCATATTTTTAGAAGTTTTAAGAAAATGATTTTATACTTAGAATCTTTTATTGAAAAACAGACCAGAGAGCCTCTGGTTGGCTTACACGTTGAACCAGAAGCTCTGGTTAGTACAACCAGAGGCTCTGGTCGAAGAACCAGAAGCTCTRGAAGAKAGACCAGAGGGGCTYTGGTCGAAGAACCAGAAGCTCTGGAAAAGAGACCAGAGGGGCTCTGGTCCTGGTTATTGAAATATATTCCAAGTGTGGTTTGGAACCAGAGGCTCGATGGACCAAAGCAGAATCTGATTTTATTCCGCATGTTGTGAAATGATTATTTGATAAATGTTTAGGTGATCTTCACCCTGCATTACATAAAAGGGAAGCTCATTAGACATTCAGGTCTAACCCCCATTTCGTGTTTTCAAAACTATGTGTGCAGGTAAAGATAATAAGGGAAGGAGCATTATATGAATTACTTCCCTATGTGCTTAGCTGTTTTGGAAGCATAGATGCTAGGATGCAAGAACATGTACTTTTGGATTTTTTAAGTTGCGTATTTTACATTAAAGACTTTTGTATTATGGACCTATGTGGGAGAAGACATGTATTCTATGTATAATATATGTGTTATATGCAATGTATGGACTGGGGGTGTTACAGAGTTGGTATCAGAGCCTGAGTTTAAGGGATTTAGGTATTCACATGCATGATACCTAGACTTAAACTATTTCATTGCATATTAGGGTCCCAGACATAGTTAGCACCTTTATAATAAATATAATAAGTTAAGAGATCGGTGTGTAAGGTATTTTCGGATTACATCTAGCCAATGTAATTTTGAATCTACAGGTACATAACTGAACTTAGGCACTTTATTGTATTCGGGAATGTGAAAAATATGTGTTTTAACATTGTTATCTACAAATGGCTAGTAGATCAAGAAGGTCAGAAAGGATCATCCACCCCAATGAAGAAGAATCCCTTGTTGCTCCTATTGGCACCTCTGAGGACAGAAGCAGAGGCAGAGGTAGAGGCAGAGGTAGGGTGCAGACCAGATGCAGAATAAGCCAGCCAGAAATTAATATGAATCAAGTAGAATCAAACTCTGAAAATATGAATCAAGAACAGATGTCTCACCCAGAATATGTAACAAGAGACATATTAGCTGAAGAAATGGGAAAGCTAAGAGAAACCTTGACTTCTATTTTGAGGAATCCTGCCAGAATAAAGACAGGCAGAATTGAAGTTACTCCATCGATTCCAATTCTCAATAACAGGGAAGGAGACAAAGATGTTTCTAACTTGTAAACCACCAACCTTCTCGGGAGAAAGAGATCCAATTAAAGCTATGTGTTGGATCAAAGAGATGGAGTCTGTATTTAATACCATCCGATGTGCAGAAACAGATAAAGTCAGATTTGCAGTCTCGGTGTTAAAATCAAATGCGTTATTTTGGTGGGAAGTAGAATCCTTAACCAGAACAGATATTTTGCAAACTATGACATGGCTAGAGTTTGTCAACAGATTCAAGGAGCAATTTAGCCCAAAAGCTGCCATTAGACAAATGGAAGAAGACTTTCTAAAATTGGAACAAGGAGACATAACTGTAAGGGAATATACAGATAAATTCATCGAATATTCAAGATTTGCAAAACATTATATTTCCTCAGAATCTAGAAAAGTGGAAAGGTATATTTGGGGATTGAAACCATCAATCCGAGAATTTGTCATAGCCATGAATCCGGCTACATTTTCATTGACCGTTGACGTAGCGGAAGTAACAGAAAGAAACAAGAACAGACAAGAAGAAGGGAAAGCAATGGAAAAGAGGAAATGAGAAGGTCCATCAACCGGATACAAAGGACCAAAAGTTGTAAAGCTTGGAAACAGGCCCATACAAAGATTCAATGAAAGGACTTGTCCCCGATGTCATCAAGTTCATCAGGGAGAATGCAGGACTGAGTTAAGGAAATGTTATAAATGTAGTGAAACAGGTCATTTGTCGAATGTTTTTCCAACAGTTAAAAGGTGTTTTAATTGTAATTCTCCAGATCACCTCAGACCAAATTGTCCACAATTGAAAGCCCAACAGTTAACCATAGGGAGCAATACATCAACAGGCCGAGGAAGACCAAATATGGGCAGAGGAGCAACGGGTGGAGCGCGGGGTCGATCTTTTCAAATGATCAAACATGAAGCAGAAACTACACCCGATGTAGTAACAGGTACATTTTTCATGAACTCCTTACATGCTAAAGTGTTATTTGACTCGGGTGCAAACTTCTCATTTGTATCCCCATCATTTGCCTTTTGTGCTCGTATGAATTCCGTGCCACTTGACGATAAGTTAGTAGTTGATACTGCTAACGGTCAAGTATCT